GTGTCTCTCCTCTATTTTCAGCCGTATGATCATTTTTTACCTCTCTGGTTCTGCTCCTGAATAAACTAGTGTTCTCCAACCTATAGGGCACTCCTTTCCATATTTCTTTCTTCTCTCCATATTTTCAATCATGCTTAATTCTTCTATTTTCTTGTTTGTGGCTTTGGGGTTTGGACTGTGAAGTTGAAGAAGTAGGAAAAAGGGCACTTTGGGATGCTACAAAATGATGGGTTTTTCTGTGATTCTGTAGAAAATCTTTATTCTCTCAGCTTTTTGATCTCTGAGTAGTATGTTCTTGGTTTCAAGGTCTTTTTTGATATGTAACAAAATCGACATGACCCGACATCTAATGCTTGTGATCCTTTGTTATTTGTTCTGATCTGATGCTTGTGCTCACAAGCATTAGATGTATTGGGGAGGATGAGGAAGACTGGTAGCATTAGATCCTTTGTTATTTGTTCTGATCTGATGGGATCACAAGCATTAGATGTATTGGGGAGGATGAGGAAGACTGGTAGCATTAGATCCTCGGATTCTGTAGAAGAGGATGTGTTAGGATTGGTGAAAGTTGGTTGCATGTAATGAAGAAATTTGGATGTGAACCAGATGTTTATACATACCACATTTTGATCAATGCATATTATGTTAGGGGAGGACTTCAGATGCTCTAAATTCGGTGCGGCTGATGGTTGAAAGTGGTTTTATATTATGTATACTTGGGCTCAATCACAGCCTCAACCTGGACTCCTGTCTCAGCCACAACTCCCACAACCACAACCTCAACCTCAACCTCAATTCCCCAGTCGACCTCAACATCAGCTAGAACTTCGTTCTCAACCTCAACTTCAGTACTCATCTGGCTACCCCCCTCCACCATGGGCAGCCACACCTGGTTATTGTAGCAATCCAAATCCTGTATCAAGGCCTTACGCCTAGAAGATTTAAAGCTACAAATAACCCACCTTCCAGCTTGTCGGGAAACGGCAGCCAAAGTATGGTTGGAAGAAGAAAGTGAGAGAGGTGATATACTCTGTTCAGCATATGGCAAGTCTCGAGCAATCAGGAAGTAATGCTGTCAATATGGAGCTCACTAGAGGTAGAAGTTAGATTGATTTAATTATGGTGTTGGACTGAACTTTGTTTTAGCAATGGTATCAAATAAGTGCACCTGTTAATCAGATTCCTTTCAAGTCTTGATACAGGATTTGGATTGCTAGCCTCTAATTCCAAGTCCTTTAATCTCTCACCCCTTTAATTATCTAAGCTAGCCTTTTCAGTGAAGTGTAAAACTCTACCTAGGGCTCAAATTTAAGAGTCTATTTGGTACAGATTCTCATTTTCTACAGTAAATCAATTTTCATTTTTAACCACACATTCTTCAATAAAATAATATTTTCCATCACATTAATACTTTTTTTTTCTTTTTCAACCACACATTTCCCATCATACCACNCAGATTCTCATTTTCTACAGTAAATCGATTCTCATTTTCAACCACACAATCTTCAATAAAATAATATTTTCCATCACATCAATAATTTTTTCTTCTTTTTCAACCACACATTTCCCATCATACCACTATTCAAAAATCAATTCTTCCCCCAAGAATCCCTACCAAACACACTCTAAGTGTATCACTAGATTTATAGCTTGGTAGGTTGGGTCAGTTAATTACTTGTTTCTTATATTCCTTTATTGATTTCATAATGGTTTGTGCGCACATGCTTCAATTTGAAGTAATTATTGGATTTAATTATAAATTTTCTTCAACTATTCTAACCTTAGATTGAAATGATAAAGAAATGGGTTAAACAGAAATGATGTGTTTTAGTGGAATATGGCTAGTCTTGAAAAAGTTAAAACCACAGTTTGGGAGAAAAAAAATTAGTGTTCCTTTGGTATTTAAGTTGTGGGTTTTTTTTTGGTAAATTCATTTTTGTTTCCTGGCTTTTTGCTCTTCAATTAATGACTGATTTTCCACTTCTATGCAGGAATCTCCTGTCTTTAATTTGCTCAACAATCTTTCTTCAATCAAGTCAGTTAAGTCCATACACATCACTCAGACATGGGCTTACTTTCATGTTGGCACAGCAACTCCTTTTTTGATGCTATAGAATATCAATCCAAACTTGTTGAGCATGGGAGAAAAATCTAATATGAATTATTCCACTTTTTGTACTCATCGGAATGATGGAAAAGATGTTTTTGCTGCTGGGTCACTATTTTAAACTAGAAACATGTATAATGAAATTATTTTGAATATTGCACAATGTATATGAGTTCAATATTGCATGGTGTAATTAATTTCAATGCAAGGGCGTATTTTCTCCTTTTAATTCTGATTTTTTATATTTTTTGATGTCTTATTACATCTCTGTATTTATTGGATATTTTATTTATGGAAAAAAGTGCAAAATTACAATTAGGTTGAATGTGTAGAACAAAGTATATGATTTTCGGTAGCGTAGTAAGCACTTATATTAAAAATACGAATTAATTTAAAAAAAATATTAAAATCACGTCGTTGAAAAAACATTGCAAAAGGGTAGACCGCAACTCTGCAAAACGTTGCAAAAGAATCAACCGCAACGTTTAAAAAAACGCTGCAAAAGGGTCTACAGCAACGTTTAAAAAACGCTGCAAAAGGGTCAACCGCAACGCTGAAAAAACGCTGCAAAATGGTCAACCGCAACGCCTGAAAAAACGTTGCAAAAGGGTCAACCGCAACGTTTAAAAAACGCTGCAAAAGGGTCTTCCCTCTACGGCAACACCGACCTTCGCAACACTTGGAAAAACGCTGCAAAAGGTCTTTTGCAGCGTTTTTTGACCGCTGCAAAAGTCCTTTTTTGGTGTAGTGTAATTTCTCATTTCCCATTCCCAAAATTGATTCCTGACATAGTTAATTATCCATTTCCTACATTGGTTTTGTGATTCCTTCTTGGATGTGTGGAATTAATAATAAGTAATAAAGAAATATGGAGATCGATGAGATATTTGGGGATTCATAGCGGGAAAATGTCCCCACAAAGTGTGCAAGCTACGTTTGGAATATAAACAATTGGGTCAAACGGGTCGGAGGGGTAAAAAGCACAACTTGAGGGTCATGAGACAGCTTCCATTGGAGCTTTTCTGTTGCCTCTCCTACGAAAATTCTGGTGGCTTGATATTACTTGTGGCCATGAACACACTACTGTCGCTGCCTCTGATGGTCCGCTTTTCACTTGGGGTATGTAAAGTAGCATTCATTCTTTATTATTTAATTTGTCAGAATTTTATTACTCTTCACTATGTCA